TTAAGATTTTTTTTTTTCCCTATTCCTGTACTGTTAGGTTCCATAAAATCGGAATTACAAGCTCCTAAGAGAGTGATGCTTCCAACTGGAAATGGAGTCACAATTCTATTATATTGAAAGTTAACTCTTCCTTTTACTCTAGGGCTCTTATGCCACTGAATTGACACGCAGAGAGGGCACTTGTAATATTGTTGGGGTAATCTATCCCAATTGCCAAGGGGGACTGTACTGCTACTACTGAATAGGAACAAGAAGGGATATGAAGGGAGTCCAAGAGATTTACCAGTAATTCGCCCATTACTCCCATTATAAAATTTTATGGCAATCTTCAGGAATTCAATAAAGGTAAGTATATAAAAGGTTCAAATTCTATGAGAAGAGATGTTAGAGTTACCCCCACTGCAAAAGGATCCAACCAGGCAAAGCACTGGCAGAGGTAAGAGAAGACAGGGGGTTGTGGGGAAAGGAGGTCCCAAAGATCAAGGCCTTAGCACCACTGCAAGGGCAGTCTGAGCAGAGGGTCAGGAGTTTCATAAAAGCATAAGATACTTGAAAACAGCTGTGGCATGGAGGCTATGAGCCACCAAGAGATGAGAACAGCTGGGTATAGCAGTTCAAATAAATGTGAATCAGATCTTCCCCTCTTAGGGATTCTGTGGGCATCTTAGAAGAGGAAACCAGGGTCCTGCCCGTCAGCAGGTGTAAGACGGATAAGATTTAGGGACTCTGATGGTAGTTTTTTCTGTCAACTTGGCTAGGCTTCAGTACTCAGGTATCCAAACAAACACTAATTTAGGTGTTCCTGTGGAGGTGCTTTTTAGATCAGAAGAACTACAATCAGCTGACTTTAAGTAGAGGCGATTATCCTTGATTATGTGGGTGGATCACTCAATCAGTGGAAAGGCCTTAACAGCAAAACTGAGATGTCCCTGAAGAAGAAACTTGGCCTCAAGACTACAGCAGTATCAGTTCCTCCTGACAGTTTCCAGCCTGCCCGGCTGCCTTTCAGATTTCTGACTTGCCAGTCCGGAGTCATGTTGCCATATGTATATACGATATGATATTTTATATATCACATATATATAATATTATATATTATAATATAATTACATAAAATATAAATATTATTTTTGAAATACATAATATATATAAAATAAAATAATGGGGGTGGAGGAGAGAGAGGGAGAAATTCCCCTGAACTGTCCAAAATAAATGTATTTAACCCTGAAGGAAGCCTACCACAGGTAAGTAAATATTAAGTACACCTGGTAACATTGCTTTAGGAATGTTACCCAAAGAACTGGAAAAGTAAAGTGAATTTAGAACAAACTCGCATTTTAGGAATTACTACCTAATTCAAAGTTTCTCAAATTTAAACCATGCATGGAACTTCTTTGAAGGCAAAAATATGAGACAACTCAATATTATTTAAATTATTTACTTAATATTATCTATATACGTACTTACATAAAAATAGGTATAAAGTTCTTACGTTTTTACTCTTACCGAGCTAAATATCTAAATAACTTTATAAGTTAAAAGATAGCAAAACTACAAAACCACTGAAGTTGTAATTTAAAACATTAGTGTGGCAATATGACACATAATTATTTGTTTATTTAGTTTGTATTTTTTAAATTAAAATGAATTGGTAAGGTTATTTTCATGGAAAAGACATGTTTTACATAGGTCATTTAGAACATGATAGACCATCACTTGAATCTTTGTCATGGTTAATGTTAGTTATTTTTAGGCAATTATTTTTAAACACTGATGTATTATTTTGATTAACCAATGAATTAAATAAAGTGCTCCAAATTACAAAAATTGGCAGCAGTATTTCAATATCATTCAGTAAAAAAGTCTTTGCTGTGGATTACTATGATAATGACTACTAATGAGCTTGGGCAACTTACTAAATACAGAGACAGAACTCATGAACCCTTAATTCACGGGAGGAACATAGAACTGTCACGATGAGAGGTATTCTGAATTAAGACATGCATAGACTAGAGATAGGCTCTATTTTATGCTGGAATCTTCTGGATACAAGGAATAGAGTCAACTCAACGCACTTCAGCACTGGAGGCTCTACCTCTGTCCTCATGGTGAGGGTGGAATCAGGAACTGGAGAACAGTTAGGATCTGAGATAGCCATTCCATTAAGTGTGTCTCTCTCTGCTTTCCTCTCTCTTTTCTTGTCTTTCCCCCTAAACGACAGATGTATCTGCCTCTATTTCTGTATATGTGTGTCTGTCTCTCTATGTCTGTCATTGCCTGCTTTTGGTCTCTGTCTCCCATGCCACCAAGTCTTTTTTCTGCTTCTATCTTCATGTCTCTATTATCTTCCCTCTGTGTTGTCCAGATTTATCTACCCATTTACATGTCAGTCAGATTGCTACTCCCTGTTCTGGCTTAACATCCTTTATAAATTTAAATGCTGACTAGGGAGAGTCCCAACTCCAAATTTCTAGGAGAAAAAACCTGACTGACCACACAGACTATTGACGTCAAGCTGTGGCTGGTTTGAAGTGGCTGTCACATGGGTGGCTGTCCACTCAGCAGTGGCTGTTAGAACACGCTCTCTGAAAAGGACATGGGTATTATAGGAAACATGTCTGCTTAAATGTCTACTAAGGGTCCAAAACATCAGTTTCTCCTAGCAGCTATTCATTAGGGTACTTGAAGTATCCAGTTGATTTTGACTTTAAAAATAGTGTCCAGGGGCGCCTGGGTGGCTCAGTCGTTAAGCGTCTGCCTTGGGCTCCGGTCATGATCCCAGGGTCCTGGGATTGAGCCCCACATCGGGCTCCCTGCTCAGAGGGAAGCCTGCTTCTCCCCCTCCCACTCTCCCTGCTTGTGTTCCCTCTCTCTCTGTGTCTTTCTCTGTCAAATAAACAAAATCTAAAAAATAAAAATAAAAAAATAATAATAAAAATAAAAAAATAAAAATAGTGTCCAAAAACCAATCTGGGAAATTATACCATAGGCACAAAAATAAAAGGCATTTAAAAATATAAAAGAGCCCCTGACATCTCTTAGAAAGAGCTGAATGGTCCAAACCACAGAAACTATTGTATGTTCTACCAACAGACCATTTTTAAAGACACTCACTTGAAGCACTTAAAAGGAGAGCTGAACTTCAGGACTTGGGATAGAGACCGTAACTACCAAAGAATGTGTTTTGTCCTTGTACTTTTTGTGGGAAAAGAGCACGGATAAGACCACTTACTCCTTAAAAATTTAACATAATATTACAAAATTCTTCTATGAACACTGCCTCTTGTAGTACTTTTATTTATACACATCAGTAGAATCACTAAGATTGCTTTAAGTATAAAAATTTTAAAGTGTGAAATTATATCCTCATTAAAAATTAATGTTTACTAGACATAGGCAAGATGGGTATAAAGCTTATAAACAGAGCTGATAATATTAGAGAGAAGGGAAGATGAGATTAAAATTAATACATAGGGAAAGCATAAAATAAAGCTGAGCTTTACCAAGGGCACAGAAAATTTGGGGATTATGGCTGTTCAACTGAGGTAAATCCTTCTAGAAAAGCTAGAGGGAGTCTCTCAAAAAATGAGGACACTTTGGGAGAAAACATCAATAAATACATGGTAAGAGTATGAGCGAGAAAAAGAAGAAAAGTTGGAATGGGCTTTCATTCAGCAGCAAGAAAGAAGTGCTAAGGATTTGCACAAAGCAGTAACTGGAGTTTTGAAGGAGTTTTAAGAGAGGGGAGATTAAGGCAGCAAGTTGTGCAAATTCATTTGGGAAGAATGTATGGCATAAGCTGAATGATGGAGTGCCAGGGACTCTAACTTTGCCCCGTTACAATCAGCATGGAAGTGTTCAGCACCGAAACACACCAAGCAGCCCAGGACCGACAGATGTGCTGTGTCCATTCCCTGGTGCCCATCAGAGTAGGCCGCACAGAGTGCCCTTATCCTGCAATCGAAATCCACCTCTCATGAAACCCTGATTTCTGATTCTGTCAAGATGCCAGATCTCAGCGACGCAGGACATGAGACACTTGCTGTCACGTCCCCCGCCTAGATAAGACTCTGCTGAAGTGGCTCCTTGTGGGTCAGAAAGCAGGGAGAGAATGAACTAAAAAGAAACAATGAGAGAGAGGAGGAAACTACCAGGCACTGCCGGGAGGAGATGATGAGCGAACGCAGAATTTGAGGCTGATGTGGGGGGGAAGATGAGAACCGTGATGGGCAAAAAGCAATGGGGAGGGTAAGAAGACACAGGAGAAACACTTGAGAAAATAAAAGGAAAGGGGGGACGTCAGAGAACAAAAATTAATAAAAAACAGACAAAAAAAAAAAAGGAGTTAATAACAAAACCACCAGAAAAGCAAAGCAAGTGAGCTAAGGAAGGGAACAAGAGGAGACTCTGTATGGACTGAATCCTTTTGACCATCTCTGGCCAGGGTTACTGTTGCAAATCCACAATTTATCTGGCTAATCAGCAAAACACAAGTAAAAGAGAATGAGAGAAACAGAAACCTCTGCATAGAAGCCTAAGACTACCCCCTTTGATAATCAATAAAAAGGCATCAATATATCTATTTTAAAATTATTCAATCATATAATTTGCTTGCATTTGGAAACTACCTAACTTTTGAAATACATGGCTTTCAGTGAATAGTCTACCCTTCCACATGTGACCAGTAACTAGCCTACTAGGCTTACTGCTCCATACCAGTGTAACATGAATACTTCATTAATTTTTTAAGGGCAACAAATCACAAGGACTTTAAAGGAATTAATAATCTGACAGTGATATTAACTCAAGATTCTTCCTCACCCTCCTCATCATTAAATATAAACACAGTGACCAACAGCAGAGTGCTATGGAGGAGCTATGGGAAAGTAACTTTTAGCCTGTGATCTTGTTCTCTCTGACAAAAGAAAATTTGACTAAAGGAGAATAATAAAATCTCTCAAGAACCCTGTGCATTATTGGTTATGTCATTTATCTCTTACCTGGAGTTCAGTGCTGTCTCAGACGGATTATGTTCACAGGTTATGCTTTCAAGGCCATGTCTCCCAGGTAGTATTTGATGAGTCCTTCTTGGTACCTGTTAAGATTTATCTGTAAGAGATGGCATACTGAGAACATTTTATATCCCTTCTATGTTACTAATGGCATGGCATCGATACTGAATAATCATTCAAAAGCTTAGAGCCATGTTTGCTTAGAGACCCCAGCTGAAAGATGATCTACAAAACTGTTTACAGTTTTTACAAGGTCCTTCTTACTCCCTTTTCATTTTATTCATTTTGCTTAATGATTTAAAATAGGAGGTAGAAACTTTTTAAAGAGTCCCATGGGGTGTTAAGATTAATGGGTTTCAGATGTTCGTTGATGTATATGTTTCATCTTTCAGAAAATCCGGTTTGAGTAAGAACTTGATTGATTGGGGGAGAAACAGTCCACTATCTCCTCAGAGACTATGACACTCAGGGAGGCAAATAGGCAGAGGGACTGAAAGGAATTTGAGCAACCAAAAAACTGACTGAGCCACCCAGGGACCCCTAGGGATTAGTATTCTTTAAGAGACCCCACAGAGATCTCTAACTCATCCCTATTCCACCATGTGAGGACACAGTGAGAAGATGCCATCTATAAAACAGAGGGTGGGCCCTCACAGACACTGAATCTGCCAACCCCTTGACGTTGGACTTCTCAGTCTTCAGAAAAGTGAGAAATACATTTCTGTTGCTAATAAGCTATCCAATCTGTAGTATCTTTTTTACAGGAGCCCAAATGGACTAAGATCGTCAAAAATATCAGGGTAAAGATTTTATTTTTAGTTAGGTTGGTATAAAGTATTCCACACTGGATTATACATGGATGGCAGAAAAACTGGAACATAAAGATAAGCAAATACAATCAGATAAGAACTAACCATAATGTCACTATCCAGACAAAATCAACACTAAGTTTTTGGCCAATTTTTTATTTGTGTATATATTTTTAAATAAATATGTCTTGGGGTGCCTGGGTGGCTCAGTTGGTTAAGCGACTGCCTTCTGCTCAGGTCATGATCCTGGAGTCCCTGGATCGAGCCCCGCATCGGGCTCCCTGCTCGGTGAGGAGCCTGCTTCTCCCTCTAACCCTCCCCCCTCTCATGTACTCTCTCTCTCTCTCTCTCATTCTCGCTCTCTCAAATAAATAAATAAATCTTTAAATAAATAAATAAATAAATAAATATGTCTATATTATTTGAGAACCTGCTCTTTTCTCTCAATAGGATATCACAAATATATTCCCTATGAATAAATATAATTCCTATACTTTCATTGTTAATAAATATGTATGTTATATATTCTATTCTACTTGTAACCTATATAAAAATTAGACATTAGGGGTGCCTGGGTGGCTAAGTCGGTTAAGCGTCTGCCTTCAGCTCAGGTCATGATCCCAGGGTCCTGGGATCGAGCCCCACATTGGGTTCCCTGCTCAGTGGGGAAGTCTGCCTCTTCCTTTCCATCTGCCTGTCCCCCTGCTTATGATCTCTCCTGCTCTCTCTCTCTCTCTCAAATAAATAAAATCTTATTTAAAAAATCAGATTTTAAGTTGTTTGACAGTATTATTTTTTCAAAGAGTACAACACTGTTAATCTAGAATTTTTAAAGAAAAACTACTCTAAATAAAGAAAGCACCAGTTAACTAACACTGAAAATATTAAGCAGAAATTTAGAGATCTCAGTATGTCCTGACCTTAGTACAAAAGGCAGATGTTCAAATACGTGTAAGAAAGAGACCTTGATCTAAAGGAACATTTGTGGTATTTCCCTAAAATATTATACCCCGTCCATTTTTAAATGGAAGCCTCCTATCATCATTTAACCACTTCTTGATGAACTATAACCAATGACTACTTGCCACCTATCAATATAATGAGAATGCTTTTCAATTCTGGGGTTGCTGTTCTTATTGTCTCTGTTCTCTAACTGCCTTACTACCTTTTAGCTGTTTTTTCTAATTCTAATTTATCATGGGCTGAGACACTGGAGACCTAAGCTCATTAACATGTGTATGTTAAGTAAGCCCCAATAAATCTATGAGGGAAGTATTGGAGTCAATAAATATCAGCCATTGGCTTTATATATCATTTTCACTGATAATAGTTTATATAATATTTATGAAAACATGGAGATACGTATTGGGTATTTTATGCTATTACAGAAAAGGAATCTGAGACTTAGAGAAATGAAATAACTTGCCCAATGCTTTCTAGCTGTAAAATTGCAGCATAAAAGCTCAAACCCAATTCTTCTCATTCTAAATCAACTCTTAGAACTTGTTAAATGCAATTTCAGGTTTTTTTCTTGCCCCTTGCTAAGGGATTGTAATCCAGAGCAAAGTTTCCTAAAACATGCTTCATCAAACACAAAGATACCAGGTATAGGTATTATGCAACAAAAGAGGAAAACAGTGGATCAAACAACTTGCTAGTGTGCCTCACAAACCTCCAAAAGCAGTCTTTTCATAAATACTTGGACCTCACAGTGACCCTCTGTAACAACAGACCTCTTCAGGCTCCAAGGAGCAAACTATAGAAATAATGTCCCAGTGGGGCAGGAGTGGGGGAGGGCGTTCACCTGACCAGGTAAGTAAGGCCTGATAGTCTTAGTCTTTGCACTCACTCTTCACTTACAATCTGTTAATATAACAGAGATTAAAATGTAAATTCTGGAAAAGCTTGATGTTTGTGTGAACTGTTGATAACACAGAAAAATTACTTCAAATGAAAGGGACAGACAAATCTTTCAGGAATCGCCACAGAATACACCTAGAACCTGCTATGAATAACAAGTTTAAATTCACAGAGAACACATATCTAAAACGGAAACTATTACGCTGGATTTGGAATTCAACGCACCAGGACAGCAGACCGTGCTACTGTTGTCCATAACCTCCCCCTGTGATATGACACACTGTCCTTAGATCTTCATGATCTGTAACAAAAAGAGAATTCCCAATGTAATTTAACCTTCAGAGATTGCATAGACTAAACATATTTGAGCAATCCCTCAAAAACTCAACATATCACTTCTAAAGTAGCTAAGTCTATTTGTAGTTTATTAAAATATTTTTAGGAAGTAGCACCATTTTAGAATAATAACAGGGAAAGTCATCATGTAGTCCATGAAATAAAAGATTTTCTGAAGGGAAACACTTCCCCAACTTGCCTTCCCAATAAGGTTTTGCATCATGGAAATATTCTTTGCAAAAAGTTTCCATCAACGTCTGTGAGTGGAAATTTTGCTAAGCATTTTATGTTTATTATCATATTTAATATTTAAAACAGCCCAACGAAGTAGGTACATCATAAATAATCTCCAACTTTACAAATAATAAAATTGAAGTTGAGAGAGATTAAGTTTTCTGAGTAGGCATAGCTAGGATTGGAAGCCAGCCTACCTAATTACAAAGTACTTTCCTTCACCCACCTCTCTCTGTAATGCTCATATTCAGTTAACTATTTCACATATTAAATATATATAACACCCCAACATTCCTATTTAAATCATACAGTAGCCACAGAAGGTTTACAAGGAAGAATGTATCTTCAGTAAGATTCCCCTATTTTACCTTAGCAAGCTTCTTATGACATCAAAACATCCCTTCCTTCACTTTGACCTATAACTAACCTCCACTCTTCAATTGGAAATCAAAAGACCATGGCATCTCATGATTTCTTCTCTTTTGACATTTCTGCTGTCTCATCAAGGCCCTTACAAATGGAACTTAAATACGATTAACTACAGTACAAGTTAAACCCCAAATAAAAACCAACGGGGCATGTATGAATGACAAAGCAAGCCAGCTCTAAAGCCCAAGATAGCTTTTTTTTTTAACTTTTTTATTATGTTATGTTAATCACCATTTGATGTAGCGTTCCATGATTCATTGTTTGTGTATAACACCCAGGGCTCCATTCAGTACGTGCCCTCTTTAATACCTATCACCAGGCTAACCCATCCCCCCACCCCTCTCCCCTCTAGAACACTTTACCAGAAAACTAGTAGATGACCAATCTGCAATTCTGGATTTCATATAAATTAATTTTAATTCAAAATTCAATAATTGGGGGGAGAGAAATATGGCTAATTTGGCCTTCAGGACAGAAGTTGGAAGTGATATAATTGAAGGAGTCTAGAAGGACATCCTATCAATCAATCCACCATTATTTATTGAATATTCTCCACCACTACCATTATGCCACATGCTTAGAATCCCAACCCTTGAGCTAACAATAGGAGTTAAATCATGACCAGAAAACAAACATGTGTAAAGGTGAACATATATTACTTGGACAGAGGATGGCAGTGACTCTTTGGTGACTATCATTACAGTAGCATAATATAACATGGGACCCCAGGGGGATAGAATGAAAGGTAAATTATGATTAATTCTGGAGAAGTCACATCAATGGAGTTACGCCCTGTAGGACCAAAGATGCACCAGAGCTGAGAGTCTTAGTTCCAGAAGATAACATCATTGTATGGTACTGGGTACTAGGAAAGGGAAATAAAGGATAATGTTAAGAAAGAGTATTGGGAACCCTGGCCAAGCTAACCTACAGCTAATGAGAGGTTTTTTGGGTGGTTTTTTTGTCCTCCATTTATGTATGTAAGTTGGTAACTTTTTACAATGAAAATACATTCTGGCATTTGAAGCTGACACCTCACAGGTAGAAAAGAGTCCCTCCCTGTACAATATAGGAAAAGGTCACAGAGGTCTATTACATAAAACTGGCATCGTTATACATAATTAGAGCTCTTGTTCAAAGAGAATTACAAAGTGACAAGCATAGATTTCTCTGGTATCCCTCTCATCTGTAGAGTGCTTCATCTTCCAATAAAGCATGCCCTCCATCCTGTGGTATGCTAAGTGTTTAACAACCAGTTCTCCAAGGGAGAAACAATTTAATATAAAAGGTACTGCTTTAAGAACATTAGCACCCAACTTACAAATAATGATAACATATGTAATAACCATCATTGTAAATTCCATACCAAGGACTTCGGTGTGACTTTGTTTCTTACAAAATCTATTGTCACAAGCTTCTCCTTCCATTCTATCCCCAACAATAGTGCCACAAAGTTAGACTATGTATAAATGCTCAATTATGATCCTACTCCAAAAAGAAGTCTCTCATGTCACTGACAAATAAGTGGAGTTCTGATGTAAATGTTAGTTGATATTTTCTTTTGCATTACAGAGTGAGTCTAAAGTAAAACAACAAGGACGTTTGTCAGACTTCATTCAATTTTCACTGACATGAGCAATTTCTTTGCTGAATCAGATAGTGGTGTCATATACTAGACCAATATTTTCTCCATTTTATGAGCCATTCACAATCTAACAGCTACAGACACAAGAAAATTTTCAGTTTAATCTGCGTTATTAATATTTTCTCCATTTTTTAAGTCCAGATAATGAACAAAGCAATAATTGTAGCATTTGTGATTTTCATGGTATAAATACTTCCATTATGGTTGGCTCCAAACTACCAACACAGAACTGTGAAAAGCAGATAACAGACATAGTATTTCTACCATACAGTCACCACAGATGTAAATAACATCAAAAGCATAGATAATAGTAAACGAGTAAAATAACTAGGAAGTGACAAGCCCAATATTTATTACCTTTGTTTTTAACAAAATGTTCAATTACAAGTTTATGTAATTTAATTTTTGATAATGGCTATTTAACAAAGAGCAAAATTGCTGTAAATTTAACAATGGACACTTTCAAGCCTCTATGAACTGGCCTCAGGATGTCACTGCCTCTATATAGGGAACTACTACTACCTCTTTGGTTTTTAAAAATTCTCATTATTATTTCCTGAACTGGAAAAAATCTGAGAGATAAGAAATGGAGGTAGGAAAGGTGGGTCAATTAACCATTTAAGAGCAAATTGTGAGACAAGGCAAAGAGCTCTGGGGTGTGGAGTCAGGAACCCTGGGCCTGAGATCCAGTCCTGATATCTTAGATGTACCTTTTCAGTCTGGAGCTTCAGAATTCTTATCTGTGAAGTGCAGTCCATAGCCACTTACTTCACATGTTTTTTGTGAAAAATACATAGGAAAAAAAATCTGTGGAAATGTTTTATAATTAAAATTTATGATGCAAAATAAATCATTTTATAATATGCAATTTTTTCAAATAAGTTTAATCTTTTAGAACTTCTTTTTTTTTTAAGATTTTATTTATTTATTTGACAGAGAAAGACAGCGAGAGAGGGAACACAAGCAGGGGGAATGGGAGAGGGAGAAGCAGGCTTCCCGCAGAGCAGGGAGCCCAATGTGGGGCTCGATCCCAGGACCCTGGGACCATGACCTGAGCCCAAGGCAGATGCTTAACGACTGAGCCACCCAGGCGCCCCTAGAACTTCTTTTTTTATAGAAATACCTACAAATAATACATCATATTATGTTTTAAACTTATGAATTTTTAATTAATTGATAAAATACTGCAAATATTCTTGCTGTTCTGATTTTGTAACAGTCAGTTCAACGTTTGCTATATTAAGACCATGCATGTGTTCCCAGACCTAATTCTTTCCTTAGGTCTGGTTTTATAAACTGCTGGTGATAAAATCAAGTCTGATTTATATGATGCATCCCATGTGGGAAGGGTCTATGGCTCTTGGTATCTTCAATCAACCTCGAGAAATGACAGCACAGCTAGTGTAATAACTTTTGAAGATAACCACTGTTAATTTGATGATTACCAGTTTCTATTTACTGAATTGTGAAAATATTGTGTTTTATTTTCTAATATCATTAGAAGCATGCCAGAATAGAGTGATGAAGAGTAAATTGTGCAAAATTTTTCTTTAATAAAACTGGCCAGCACATGTTTTAAAAACATTGCATTATTTTCAGTTATTCTCTTTATAGCTTTGGTTTCAGTACACTCTCCTGAAGATGGGATTGGAGAGGATGAGGCAGCTGGATGTGGTAGCAAGTCTTCTGGGTTAAGAGCCATACATCCCAGTTTCCATGTTCCTGTTTTTGTAGAGGGAGTGCACTGAGTTCCTTTCCTGTACTAGGTTTTTAAGAGACTTAATTTTCATCATTCTAGTCTCAGGACACTGTTGACATTTGGTATTTTAAAATGTTTGAGAGGAAGCAAGTTTCAATACCCAAAATTTAACCAGAAGTGTATCTACCAAATCTGTAGCAAAGAGGATTAAATGAAATGAAATACGTCCCCACCCCCATCCAAAGTTTTGTCAAAGGCTGAAAAAAGTTCTACAGAACTTTAATGAAGAAGGATCTTTCCTAAAGGTGTGCCGTGGTTGGTGTAGAAGAAGTGTACTTGGACAAGTTCAGAATAATCCCAGGTCTTCAACAAGTTGCCCAGAGTGTGTTTTAATCCTAAAAGATACACAGTGAAGTATGTTCAGTGTTTAGAATTTTGGGAAACTGCATATTACCTCTCCCAAGTATGTTCCATAAAACCCTTTACCCACATCCGTTAATATCCTTTGGAACATTCAGCAGAATGAATTTGGGGAAAATAGTGATCCAGATACATCTTGATTTACAGAGTTGAATAGTGCTAGTAGCATGTACCCTACACAGTCTGTGCTGGGCTCTAAGGGAGGCTGCAAAAATGTCAGAAATGACCATGTATTTTCCACTCTAGAATTAATCAATTCACATAGGCAGTTTTTAGTGGTCGATGACTGAGACATAGGAGACGAGGATGCCTTCAATATACTATCCAGAAATTTAAGTATTTAATGAACCTGGAGTCAGAAAACTCTACCTCTTAATAACTATATAACAACTATGGGTGGGTCAAATTCCCACTTTCACAAGTGAGGGAATTGGTTTTTTCAAGCTAACATTACCTAATTTTAGTCTGTGTCTGATGTTATTCTAAGGTTGTGGCTATAATTTGGAGAGCATAGCTGTTATGAACTGGAGTTTTCTTACT